TTTCCAAAAAAGAGACACCTCACAGAAAGATTGTAAGTGTAAAGTAATAATGGCAAAGAACTTTAATATCCTCTGATAAAAGGTGGTTTATACACATGATTATTATTATTGTATATGAAGTTTCTGAAGTTAGTAAGAATATCTATTGGTTTTAAAGTTCATAAGAATGTCACTTGTTTTTCAAACTTCTCATTAGGATGAATAATTAGAAAATGCCCTTTTTAGTATATGGTAGTGGTGGAAGGGGCAGATTTTGCAATGTTCCTGTGGAGTATACAATAAATATAAATGAAACTAGAAACCAACCCATCACTGAAGGAGAAAGAAACCCACACAAACGTTTGCTTGCCAGCAATATGCAAAACAAGAATAGTAGATTTAAAATTAATTATGAGGTCAATGCCGATCTTAGAGTAACTTTAGAATTAACTGCTAGTGTCCAAAACAAAGTATCTGGACTTTTATTATTTGCAGGTCACTTTTAGGAACGTGAACTTGTCTTTTCCTTTACCACCATATGAAAACCAAAGACATACTATACAGTGTCTTGCTGCACCTCCACAGTCAGTGAGCACCTGGGTCTCTTCACCTTTAAAGATGTACAGTGGATTTTTCACAAAGATACCCACATGCATTATTTTCAAATTATTTTGAGGAGCTCCACAATATTGTACCCTTCACAACACAAGCTCATTACGCTCATATAACAAAAATATATTTAGAGGAAGAAATAATTACCCACAGTCTATCCCGTTTTCCAGTTTTGGCAAAAGAATTGACATTTGTACCTGACATGTCTAGAGAGTTAGAAAAGAAAACGCTAATATCTGAACTGTGATGGTTCTTAAAAGTTTTTCTTTGGAGCGGGGTGGGAGCAGGTTGAAGCTAGTAAACAGTGAATGCACTCAGAAGTTTAAAATCTCTAACTTCCTTTTTTTTTTTTTTTGCTTTTTAATTTAAACACCAAAACTTTTCAAATAATAAAAATATATAACCACATTTCACAAGACTGCCTCAAGATTTAGAATACTAATTATTTCACTGTTCTTCAATTAAGTATTATAGATAGATCTATATCAAATTCCAAGCAGCTCTGTTCTCACCACAAAACTGTAATTCATGGATCAATGGGAAAAGGAGCTGAATGAATATGTACATGCTGGAGGCCTGGGAATCAGTTGTGCTAGAAGCCAAAAATGCTTCCCTGTGTCATTAACAGAAGTGCAATACAAACTACCTATCAGGATATATTTTACACCAGCATGAATAATCCCTATATATCCCAGTACACCAGATTTATACTGGATAAACTGTGCACAAAATGGGCTAGTATTCTAAAAGAATGAGTTTTTCAAGGAAATGCATACACATAAATCCAAATCCTGCATCCGATGTGACACCCAAGTAATTAAATGCTGTCCCCAGTAAGTCAATGGAAACTTTGCCATTGACTTTAATTGGGTCAGGATGACACCCAGCACACTTAATGCAAAGGAAACTGGCTGGGCTGAATCCCTGTGTGAGGTTGAATCAACAGATCATAATTGCTGGAACCTTGGAAAAATGACCCCGGTTTCTGGCTGCTCAGACAACCAGTCTGGTTGTGCCTGAACGTGCTGTATCTCAGCCCCACAACTTTTTTAGGCAGAACAAACACACTTTATATCGTTTTTGTTCAGCTATTCAAAATTTGGCATGTGCTGACCAAATCCTAGTTGTAAATGTGCCTAACAATCTAGGTCTAATTTTTCAGAAGTGTCTAGAGATTCTGGGTGTTCATTTTGAAACAATTTAAATTTAACTATGTTCTGAGCACCTCTCTGAAAATTAAACCCCTACCTCTAAAATGTTTCCACCTGGGCACCCAAAAATGGAATCACTAGTCACTTTTGACAGTCTTGGCCCTGGTTCGCACTGTTGTGAGGTGTACAACTTGCAACTAAAATAACCAAGACCTAGAATAACAGTTGTCTACACTGCTATTAGCTTAGAGACCCCTCATCCTTTTGATGGAGACAGGTGAAAAGGACTAATCTATGTACGGAAAACACTGAGGTCACTAAATTAGTCTGTTCCTAAACAGATGAAGTATTTAAATTTGAAAAATCCTAGAACTTTCTTTAATATTATGAAAACACTATAAACAGTTGTAGTCAGCCACATGTTGGCCATATCTGGGTCCCCAGCATACTGAGCCCTACTTATCTGTATCTTTTTACTCTAGTATTTTTCTATTTTGATATTTCTCTTCTGATCACTGTAATATTGAATGATGTGCTGGACTCCTCTGCTATAAGGTAAAGTATTTTCATTTATTTCTGTAACCAACGGTGTTTCTGTGATTTGAGAGCTATTTTTTCGTCTTTTATTTTTTGTTCTCTTCTCTGTAGAAGCCTCCTATTTATGTGTAGAGACACCAACAGATCTTTTGGGTAAGAGAAGTCTGGAATGAGGGCAATATCTTGACTTCCATGAGAATTAACTCAATGACATATTAATATATTTTCTATCTCTAACTACTAGGAACTGATAGCACTTTGCTATTGTTTGAAAAGATGTACTCACTAAAAATGAGCAAATCAGAGTTCCCATATAAATACAGACTATAATCCAAGGTATCACTTAAGCTTTCTTCTGTTATGGCCTATTATTGGATTGGATTTAACATATACGTTTATTTCTTTTTTTCTGAATAAAAATGTGCTGCTGAATAAAAGAAAATGCTGCGTAAATTTAATTTTACTTTGCATGTGTGCTCTCATCTAAGCCTCTCTATTCAGAGAACAACAACAACCTGGGTTGAAACGACCTCTACTATTTAAGACGTTATGTACTTCAGTCAATTGACCTATTGATCATAGTTTTTCCAAGCCATATAAAGTTGGCTTTAATTTTTAAGCCTCTCTCATAGAGCACCCTCTCAAGTGGCATGGTACTGTATCATGACAGTACCACATTTAGGGGCATCAGATTTTTTTTACGCCTTACTCTGAAGTATCTGAGACTGGTTCAAGTCTATGACTGAGACCTGGATTACCAGAGTGCAAGATGAGAAAGACCTATCTGTCTTTCATCTTCCCCATCTGCAAAATGGGGAGGGATAATAATAATTAAAGGGCTGCTGTGATTGTCTAATATTTGTAAAGCACTTTTCAATAATGTTTTACATCTTCAGTGTGGTATATCTCCATCATCATTTGCCACACACAGAGACAAGATATTGACGGGATGGCTCATTGGTCTGTTTTGCCATAGCATTTTCTATGGCACAAGTGGTACCCTTCTGCAGATGGGAGTTCAGTGTGGGAGGAACATTAAAGAGTTTTGTCCCCTGAGAAGGAAGAGCCTGCCACCTCCCAACCTTGTTGGTCCCAAGGGAATGGCATGTGAGGGTGACAGGCCTTCAGTACCGTGAGTGGTCAGGTCTACCATACTGCTCCTCTGCCTCCCACCCCCAACCCTAACATCATGGCTCCTGCGGACATTGGGATGCCATTGACCAGACGCTGCAATTACAGAAAACTCCCTATACTCTGAATAGGATGCAGACATGAAGTCTAAGTTATTGTTGCTTCAGGCAGTATTAAATGAGGTAGGAATTGCTAAGCTGATCTCTGATGCTCAGGAAAGAAAAGTGCAGCAAATAACAACTCCTTCCCCTCATGCCTCCCACAATGTTGGACCATGATCCCCCAATGCATCCAGAGTCCTAAGACATAGGGGAATGATGCTTCAGTTCCTCCTTCACCCAAGATCCACCAGATCTAGCAGAAGCTGCAGGACAATCTGGCCTCTTTAGCTTTAAACAGAACTTGGAATCTTACTGACAGAATTTATTAGCTGTGAATGCTCTAATGAATCTAACCTATTTTTGTTTCTCCCTAGAGTTGGGCTCAAAGAGGACTTTTGCCATCTTAAATACTCTGAAAAGCACAGCCCAGCATCTGTCAGCTGAAATGGATAGCAAGTGTGGGAGAACAACCTGTTGGTGATGGTTTTGTATGTAATGTTTTTCTATAATGGGTATAACAACATGAGTGTGGGGAGAAGAACTAAGCTGAGAAGGGGGTAGAAGGAAAATTTATTTTCAACAATTAAGAGGGTTTAAAAACTATGCATTAGAGGGAGAAAGAAATGAAACAATTTTTGTAATTAAAATAGATTTTACAGTTTAATGTAGGGATGAGGTACTCAGCTGGACAGGGGACTGGGAATCTATTAAATTTAAATAGAAAACTATTTAAATTGAGGCTGGAAGGACTGAATTGGAGAAATTAAGGGAGACAGCTGTGATAACTATCAAACTATTTTACTCTACTGTGCAGAAAGATTGTAGACGACAAATATGAAAACCATTCTGCATTTTAACTATTTGAGGTGTCCATTTGAAAACTGTTTATACTATATCACTTCATGTTCAGTCAAAATTTAAGCAATAGGTGCGTAAGAAAAAGCAGAGGGAATTTCTAAATCAAACATACTCAGTTACTCAAATCAGAAATATTAATACATTTATGTATACATCATTAAGCACTATTCATTATAGATTATGAAAGATCAACACTTGTATTTACTTCCTTTCTTGATCTGCATTTATCTCGATACTGCTTCTCCTTTTCAAATCATTGAATAGATTTTAAACAACTGCATAGCCTCTTCAGAGCCCTATTTATTCCATAGAAATCAATAATCATTGTCCTATATGGATATTCAGGACCACAGGGGACCCTGTTAACATTAAAAGGTTTTACAAAGAACATATCAAAAACTAAACCAAACAAAAAACCCCAAAGAAATTACAATGGTAAAATTCAGTGTATTTGTCTAAATTCATGTTGACAGCCTGCTACTCTTTCAGGATACTTGAGCTAATTTATAATGATAGTAAAAAATGAAATCACATCACACAGTGACCACTAATTAGCTACACAAGACAATATAGTTATAAGACCAAGTGTGAATGGAATAAATAACATAATTGCCAGCACCAGAGACATTACCTTTAAAATTGTAATATTCCAGGTAAAACTCTCTACTGCTTTTTGTAGTTTCCTTTCTTTTAAGCCTTCCTTTGCTCCTATATTGTGCAGGTTTTCATGGAACTCCATTGCTGTGGAGGGTGAAAAAGATGAATTTAATATCTTTGTATTTACTCTGAATTTTCATGATGGTAGAGTTAGATTTCTAGAAACATTTCATATAAATAGCTTCCTGGAACTGCTGTCAAAAACTTTGATAAATCTGAACTGGAATAAGGCAAAGATGAGAGACTGAAAAGAAAGTCATAATGAAAAAACAAATTGAAGGACGAGTGAAAAATCTGCACATTTTTATTCTATACTGGCAAATGTTCATGTTTTCAGTCATACAAACGTAACCAACATGTCAATGTACATTTATTCTCTAAGAAAAAGGTAGCATGTTGTAAGTTATTATTGGGTTATATAAAAACATTACCATCTTTACTATACAAAAAGCCACAGTACCTGCAATCAAATTCATTGTACTATATACAAAGGTCTTTTTGTGAGTTGCTGTAATATGGAAACAGTAACGTCATGAAATGTTATCCTCTGACAAATGTACTTTGCACCTTGGTCTTTTTTGTATTAAATCTAGATAATGGATAATTTGACAAAACCATAGCATTGTTTATACCAATGGACAGATGGAACTTTGCTTTAAGAAACGTAACTTACGTCCTACATCGCTGTTGTTTCAAGTCATATATGGTAAATTTAGAATAAAAACACTGATAGCTTCTTCATACAAGGACAGAATTGACTCCCTCATGTGCCCAGGCAGTGCAGCTAGTATGGTTCTGCTGCACAAAGGAAGGCAGGATGCAGGGTGGCACTCCATCTATGGCTATGTCTACACCATGAGCTAGGGTTTGATTCCTCTGCTTGTGTACACATACTTGCACTAGTTTGATGTCACGTAATTGTCTCATTGCCACACTGTAGCCCTAGGATGGGGATTGAGGTCCATACCTCTAAATTCCCTGACTCAGAAGATGTGGTCCATAATGTACAATACTGTAGTAATGTCTTGCAATAACATACAGATATGAACAAGACACACATTTTTCCTTAATCCAATACCCCCTCGTGTCTCTACATGTCAGATTTATGGGTTTTGTGTTTAGATTTCTTTTTCTGTCTTGGGAAAACTAAGCATTTTACCTGTTCATAACAGTCACATGTCAAACCCAGGTACATTAAAAAAGTTGAATCCCAAAGCCAACATCTTTTTTTTATTTTTTTTAAAAGCTTAACAAATTGATTAAAAATATAATAAATGCAAAAATGACCACTTTGTCATTTGAAACTGACTGCAAGGAAAACTGAAATAGTGAATTCCTTACCTGAATTAAACTAATGTATCATTTTTATTTAAAAACATTAACTTCCTCATAACTCCTACTCAGTCTCTAGAGTGCAGCCTCAATTAAACCATTCATTACACATTTGCCCAGCACAGATTATCAACCAGGTGAAAAATTAAAATTCATTCATCCATAGTATTTATTTCCTGTCCAAATAATCGGTTTAACAATATGACTAGGGATAGATTTGTAGACCCACAGCTACAATGTCCAAGTCCTACTACAGCCATGAAAATACAACTTTTCTTATGTGCAGTTGGAGACCTCTGAATATATTATTTTCCCAGATCCACAGTTTTTGATACACAGTGCTGCATTCAGCATCTTAGCAGGAAAGCAGGCCAATTCTACAGGAGATAGGTATACAGGCCCTGCCCCTTCATTTCATAACCATCTTCCCACCGGTAATAAATTCAAAGACAAGCAGGGAGGAAGGAATGCAAGTGCGGATGCAATACATTCAGGATGATGGGGTTCAGAGCATACACAAGTTTACTCAAGGTTGGATTGATGTTTGGGGATCAGGAAGGTAGCTTTAGGGCCAATTCTGCACTATGACTGAGGTGTGCTTGGATGTTTTGACCAGTGGCTGCTGCAGGGAACTGGTTGCAGGTCTCTAATCCTCAGTTGCCCACCCCACAATGGACTCTGTGGCAGTGGAGAGTCATGCATAGTGAGGCTCTGATTCGTCCTTCTCTCCCCACCATGTGTGCATGCTCACACCCAGAAAATCTTCGACAAGTACCCTCATTCCCCTACTCTTGGGATGGGAGTGGGCTGACCTAGGAGATGGCAGAGCCAGTGGAAAATTTCCCCAGGGAATTCTCCACTAATTATTTTCAGCTATTTTAATTGGCATTTTGTGTCATGTCAGCTTTGCAAAGTGGCTTCAGCGGGACAGAGACTATGGCCTTGAATTTTTACAATAAATTTGATTATGAACAAAGTTTGCTTTCCACTAGCTCAGGAAAAGACATGTTAGCTGCCAAGTAAACCTGGATTAAGACCAGGTGATGTCTCTCACCTTCATGAGCACCACCCTCACCCCAAAACATTTTCAGAGGCAAAACAAAAATACCCAATCTTAAACCACTAATCTTAATTGAAATAGGATAACAAGTTTTAAAATAATTTAGTAAAATTAAATAATTTAATTTTCAATTAATTACTGGCAACTCTTTCTTTTAACATGTGTAGTCTTTGAGAAGCTCTAACACACTAGGAAAGGAGTATGGTGTAACTAATCTCACACTGTGACAATCAGTCCTCTGTATTGCTTTCATCCTATTACAGGATCAACAAGAACTAACATTAACATTTTTATATCTTTAAACCATGGCTTTATCTGTTACAGCTTCATTTTGGTTCAGGTCTGAATCAGTCCTTGAAACTTTTGCAAAAATGTTTTGCTCTTGGGAAAAATGTATATTTCAAAATGTTAGGAACTTTGCAACAAACAGATATTTCTGACTGAACGTACATAATAGATGCTGGTTTTTCCACAGGATTAATTGTGGCAGAATATTTTAAGATTTTTAAAATTAATATTTTAATATTTACATAAAATCTGCTGTAACTCACACTGGATTATCAGCAGTACTACTCTGTTATATTAGTATTGAAAGTACTGGGCACTGACATTGCTATTGTCTGGAACACACTTTACCATTTGTATGGCCTCAAGCTGTTTGAAGGGAGAAAGATGAGTCCATGAATTGCCTCCATTTCCAGTTCTGTTGTTGTATAGTGAGGGGTGTGAAAGATGGTGTGGTGTTGCCTCTCCCTCCAGTCCCACAGCTGGAGAGAGAACTAAACTCAGTATAGGCATGGTTTTGCAAGGTACTAAGCATTATGGCCCAGATTCAGCAAACCATAGTCTCGTTGAGGTCAGTGTGCCTCTTCAAATGTTTAAAGTTGAGAGTGTGGTCAAGTACTTTTCTGGATCAAGACCAGAGAGTTCAGCACCTGGCCAGACTGAGCTCTATGTGAGTTGCAGAAGCCCCTAGTAAACAGGGCACCAAATGGCTGCTTGTTTTGCTTGTGCTTCTGTCTGGCCATTTCTTGCGTTACTACTAGCTAACAACTGATAACAAAAAGAGTAACAGATAAATGACTTTAAATTGATGTGGGGAAGACAGAGAAGGGAACTAAGGAGGAAAGAGATGGTTTCTCATCAAGAATTAAATGAAATGGGAAACATATTTGCACAAAATCATGTAAAAATCCCTTAAACTAATATATACTTGTAGTGAAAACTTATCTATAAAATTAAATACAGAATATATTAATTGGAGACACAGAAAACACTGTTTTTGCAGGATATAATTTCTTATTTTTTTACAAGTGCACATTCAATTTTAGCTCTCATTAAGATGTATGAAATGAATCTAGTACTCAAGCAGGTTTAATTACTTTATTATTCTAAGATCATTAATATTTTGGACTGTCTGATTGATAACAGACACTAGACTACACTAAACCTGAATTATTAGATTTTTCAGAGCTGTATTCCTGTATATACCATCTGTCTAATCCACAAAGCACAAGTTACCCAGCTTTTCTAGCTTTGCTGACAGCTGTCAAAAATGGACAACAAGCTAATGTTTCTGAGAGATTATGAGGATTACATATGATACCCAAGAATGCTAAGGCAACTTTCAGCTGTTAATGATTCACTATGTTTGTGCAAGGAAAACCCCCAGCAAAATCTATAAACACACTGTTACTCTCAGAGAGTAAGAATATCTGGTTTTCTTCTTTGCTAGGACCAAACTTTTAGCTATGAGAAAATGCCACACTTAATTCAAGCTATACTACTTCTAAGAAGGAGGGTTTTTTTTCTTGATTTAGGCTATAACTCATTCCACGCTACAACTCTAATTCAGCACGATCAATGTAATTAGAGTCAAACTGAAACATTTAGACACTGGCCTGAATAGGAATAGGGAATAATGTGGAGCAAAACTGTCACACATGGAGCGATGATGTTTCAGCGTCGTACAATCTCACCCTGAGCAGCCAAGTGCATTTGGAATGATGCAATCTGCTTCGTTCAGTGCAGCTGGCTCATTGTGCGTGCTGGTAGGCCACTGCATCACTGCCTCCCTTGAGTCAATGGGCACCTCTGGAGGCACACATAAATAAGCAGTAAAACCATGATAGGCCTTTGCGTGGGCCATTCAAGGTTGGGTGAGAGGCTCCTTGCATTCCCCCCAATATCTTCAGCTGGGTTTGTGACGATTTATCTCTGAATGACTTTTTATAAACCTATTGTCATAGTATCTGGGCTTAACTGGTAAATTAAACACCACAATCCATTAATTAAAATGACTCACAATACAGTATAACACTTCCCAGAATGAAAGATAGCTATCATTATTAATAATTAAAAACAGCAATATAGCACTTCTGCAGAGCCAATCAGGTGCTGGACCGAGTGATGTCTTAATTAAATATTTGACTGAAATGACGCATCTGAAGGTGCAAACTCTGGCTCCGGCAGACCACCAGAGGGAACTAGCACTCCAGGGATCCCAGTCATTACGATAGCACATAAAGCCACATACAGGCCATAAAACAGCTAGATCCCAAACCATAGCAAACCTCATAAATTAAAACCAGAGGAGGTGAGAAACCAGGGCAGTTCCTAGAGCAGAGATGTAATATGCTCACATGGACCCACTACATTATTAGTGAACTTACTGCATTCAGTGATAACTGAA